AGTCCAACCACATTCAACAGACTCCTGTCAACCTGGGTTGAGACCTGGTTGGCCAGCAGTATGGCAAGACCTGGGGACTTCTGGGACCATGGATAGGGACATGGCCACAGAGGGCTAGAGCAGAGAGTGAAGCATCTGGCTGATATGAGGTGAGGACAGATGCACAAGAACACCCTACTTGCAGATAGGACCCATTTGACCTAGCTTCAATGGTTGGATGACTAGAACTTGACAAGAGGAAGAAAGAAGAGGGAAAAAAAAGAGTAATCTGCTACAATTCGATGAACTTGACCTATGCTTGTGGATGTAGTAACTCAAAGGAGGAAATAAATCTTTACAGTGAAGATCATTCCCATCCCCTCAGTACACAGGGTCTACAAGGATGGGCAACTTAAACTTTGGCTACCCAAAATGGGGGAGCTACAAAGGCAAGAAGTGACTGTCTTACGATCTTCCAAGTGGGAACCTAGTTCCAGAGGGTAAAGGGGAAGGTAGAGTCTCCACTGAGTTTTTTCCAACCTGTCTGGTCAGGGCTGATGAAAGGTGATGGGAATAAGACTCTTGTGGTTCATAGTGAATGATTGCTATCAGGTCTGACTGTAAGTGCTGGAAATGTAGAGGTAGATGTTTTGTAACAAAAGGAGAGGAGTGGTTGATCTTGCTGTCAAGGAGCAGAGATCCCTGGGACCATCAAGGGACAAGAGCAGATTGCGGGACCCTATCTAGAGAAGCAGTGACGCTAGAAATGGAAGCAGAGATGATGATGAGGAGAGATGGAGATGCTGAAAACTCTGGACTCTGGGAGGGAGAGGGTCTGAGTGTTGACGGCTAGGGATCAGGCTTGCGGGGTATACCCTTTGTCTGTTTAATGATGCATGCAGGGAATTGTAATCATTGCAATGAAATGAAATAAGATAGGATGAATGTAAAGCTAATGGTCTCTCATGTAAACTACCACACAATTCACAATAAAAACTTTTTTTAAAAAAAAGAGAGAATTTCAAAATATATCTTGAAGTACAAAGCTTTCTGTGATAATTTCTATACACCTCCAAGGAAGACCAGTAAATACCACTATTATTCAAATGCATGCACCAACCACCAAATCCAGTGATGAAATTGAAGAATTCTACCAACTTCTTTTCAACATTATAAAAAGCAACTATACACATAGTACCTCACCAGATGAAATACACAAGAATCAAATTGACTATATTTGTGGGAAGAGATGATGAAGAGGTACAGTCAACCAAAACAAGACTAGGAACACACTGTGGAATAGATTATCAGTTGTTCATGTACAAGTTCAGGTTGAAGCTGAAGCATATTAAAACATGTCCACAAGAGGCAAAATATGACCTTGAGTATATATCCCACTGTACCAAAATGATTTAGCTAATATTCAACCATATCAATGTGTAGTATATGATCAGGAGCCAATGATATTGAAGGAAGAGGTCCAGGCTGCCATGAAGGCATTGGTGCAATACATGACTATGTGGATTAATGGAATTTCTGGAATTCAAGAAAGGGATACTGAATGGTTTAAAATCTATCTGGAAAGATGTGCATCAGATTTGTAACCTTTTACCATGTTCAACCACTCTGTATGCTGAGTAAATAATCTAAGATGAATAAAATGAAAAACAATGTCTCATCAGCATTGGAGGAAGATTCATTAACAACTTAACAAATTCAGATGACACAACCTTGCTGGAAGTGAAGAAGACTTGAAGTACTTCTTGATAAAGACTTGCAGTGAGGGCCTAAGAACACCCCAGCATGCAATCAGCAATTAAATGCAAATACAATAACACCTCAATGGCTTGGGAAAAAAAAAAA